TAGCAGAGTTATTCCTGCAAGGGGGCAGAGCAGACAGCTGGGTGGCGGAAACAATACAGCTATTCCAAGGTAAACTGTCTATATTTGAGAATCAGAGTGCTTAGGTAATGAAAAATATTAATGTATGCTATTACTGTAAACTGAATGACTTAAAATGTTGCTGTCACTTTGCATTGTTCTGGTACTATTTTCTACTATTTTTCCAGCCTCTGGTTTTATTTAATAGGTCTGGGAAGTGCACAGAATCCTTGGTGGGGAAAAAAAAAACCTCAGCTGTCTTCAAGAACATTCAGCATTCTGTTTAAAAACTGAACGTTTTTTTTTATCTCTCCTTCCTCTTTCTCAAAGGTATCAGAAAGCGGCTGAAGAAGCCACTGCTGAGAAAAAAAGAAGTGTAAGTATTTGTTTCCTAGGCAATAAGCAACAGGCTGCAATCAGAATGGATCACCTATATGCGGTGTTTCTGTGACAGTTGATTTTTGGAATATCAAAGTTGTTGCCATGTGTCCTATGGAAAACTTGGCTTAGACGTAGTATTTGCTTTTGACTCCTTCCCCCTACCCTTTCCTAGTGTGAATGAAAGGGAAGAAAATCAAGTGCCTTGCCCAAAGGATATGTTGAATCACCAATTTGCTCCTAAGCAAAAGGCAAAACGAGTTAACCACAACACATGAATATCCACCTCTTTGTTCTTAGCTGTAGGCAGTTGTGTGGTACCTCTTCCTTTCTTAACTAAATTTACAAGTCTGCTTGGAAGAAGCTGCCAGCCTCTTTGAAATCTAACATGTGTATCTTTGATAGCTGGAGAGTCCAGTAAGGGGGATCTTCTCTGAAGTGGCTTACAGGGTTCAAAATGCCCCTGGATGAGGGAGAGCCATCCTTTTTGGCTCCATCACAGCCTCGCATTCCCTCCTGTAAACTATATTGCACTTACTGTTCTGGGGTCAGGGGACCCTGGCTGAAATACCAGGCACTAAGATTGCAGGTCTTGATCTCTTTAATGCTTGGGGAGTTATTATTTTTCTGTGTGAGATATGTGTGATAAAATAAGCATGCTAAAAATTACTCTCCAGTCTTAAATTTTCTTATTGCTTGTATGATCAGGGAACAGGCAAGTCCCTAGCAAGAATGACTTGTGTTATGAAGTATGCCAAGACTCCCTAGGCGTCATGTCCAGAGGTGTTCCTGTGGAAATTTGCTGTGCAATTTTGAGTACTTCTGTTACATTACAACATTTGCCTTAGAACTTAAGTACTTTCTTTTAAATACAGTCGGTAAGCAAGCTGATCTTTTTTGAAGTCTAGGTGGATTCAAGTTAATTTGCAAAGCAGTGTTCAATATGTGACCAGAAGAGTAATAGGGTGAGAGACTTAAATCCTAATATAGCTGCTAATCCTGTTTAATTCCTGTAAGCCTTGCAGACCTGTTCCACTTGGAATGAGTTTGATACATAGTGGTCTCCATAAGGGAGAGACAGCAAAAATGCAATGGTGGCAGGTATTAGATTTGAATGAATTAAACATGGGCTGGTCTGTTACTCTGGGGAGAGGTAACTACTTGTAAGCAAAACTACTCTGAAGAGCACTTGAATGTGAGGGGTACTACTGCTCCATGTATTACCATCTAACTCACCGTGGTAAGGCAGTGCTTGTGACTTGTGTGCATGTTCCCTGCCAAAAGCTTTCAGAGTGTTGAGTGAAACAGGAAAAAAAATTCCAGCAAATGGTCTGGTATTTATAAACGGGAGCAAAAAGACCTTTGTTGTCAGTGCTTAGTTTGAGCCTTACGCTGTGTGGTACAAAATGCTGAAGACAGATCTCTTGTAACTAAAACACTACTGTTAACTGATAGTAGAAATACATAACCCCCAAAAAGTAGTGGTTTCTGAAAACTAATCTGTAGCTTTTTGGAAGGCCTACTAACTGTTGTCTTTTAAACCAGCTGGAAGGCATTGCAGCGTTAGGCACACCACCCATCTCTCATGTGGCTGCTTTTGCTATTGTTAGCTTGTTCTAGGACTGGAGACCCTTGTTGTGTGGATTTTGGTCCCCTTTCCTTCATGTGTGGATTCGAGCCTTTTGTGTGTCATTTAACTCATTAGAGCTTGACTCCCTTTTTCCTTATAAGGCCATCCTGTTTGCTCACTTCCTGCTTTAGCTCCTGACTTTTCTCTTCTCCCCCCTCCTTCCTTTCCTATCCTGGATGCTTTCTCCATGCGGCACAGTTGTAACTATTCACAGCTGCCTGAAAAAGCAGAGCGGAGCGCAGTACTGAGCCTTTAACTTCCTTTCGCATAGAAAGGAAGTGCTTTAGTGCTTCATCAGACATATAACTGGAATTAACTTCTTGTTCTTTGTAGAACACAGAAAATCTTCCCCCACGTTTTCAAAGGGGGAATCTGAGTGCACTAAAGAAGAAGTGGGAGAATCCAGTGCTGGGAACGGAGTCTCGGAAGGAAACGCTCCGAAGCAGCTGTGCTGAGGTTAGGCACAAGGTCGCCAGCCCGGGGCTCGGAGTCAGGAGCAGCCCTCCTGCTTCCCCAGACACAGAGCAAACCCCGGGGGCTGGTGCTGCATCCGACGCCCAGGCCCCTTGCAGCACCGCTGGCCAGCTGCAGCGTCCTGGTGGTGACAGCAGGCAGTCTAAAAGCCGCTCACTGGAGGGTGGTAGAATGGAAAACTGTCTGAGAGAGTCCAGAGAAGTGGAAAAGCCTGAAGCTAGTGAAAACACGGACTCTTCGGGGAAGATAGAGAAATACAACGTTCCGCTGAACAAACTCAAGATGATGTTTGAAAAGGGTGAAGCGACTCAGACCAAGGTAAGGATCTGTCCCTTCAAATCTTAAGAGAAACTAAAACTCTGCTGCCTCTTGGGCATCAGGAAAAGTTCCTGGAGGGAGTGGCTCTGAACTATTGACTCTGCAAATGATTGTATTCATTGTTTTAGTTGAAACGTAGTGTAGCTGTTGTTAACAACTTATTTGAGCTGTACAAATATCTGCAGAGTGCTTGGAGTTGTGGCTATTTGTGATTGCTCATTGGAGGTGTAAAATGAATTTGCTTGTGAAAAGGGGTACAATTTAAGAGGGAAAAATAAATATGGAATTTATTAAGATTCTTTTTCTAAAAGCAAGTTGGGATTGTTTATATCTTGTCCTTAGTTTAAGATGAGTTATCCAATCATGAATTGTGTAAAAAATACATGTATAAATTTTTTTTAATATATATATATATAAACAAGAATAAGTAACTGTTTGAAGTGAGCTCAACAGTCTCGGGCGGTTACAGTTGAGATGGAAGTACTGCCAGAGTTAAAAGGGTTTTTTATATACGTATCAGTATGTGAATCAACATATATGTACATATAGATATATATATATAGGTCCGGCAAAATACTCCCATCTTTTCCTTGCTATTCTCTCATCTTTGTATCTTAACAAATGTTTCTTACTGGGAAAAAAAAAAAAAAATCCTCACAGGGAAAAATAAGCAGAGATAGCCAGACAAGCTCCTGCCTTCACTAGTTTTGACTTGCAAATGCACAGGGCTTGCATTTTCCTACAACTGCTCATGAAATCTGATCCTGCATGTGGACTGCAGACTCTGTGTCCTCGGGGAGAATTGCTTAACTAGAAAATGAGTTGCATATGCTAGTGACTTGCAACATAGTCCTGAGGCCTTGATACTGGTGGATTTTCCAGTTTTCTCATAGTTTCCTCTACTTCTGGCTTTGTTTTACTGCGGGGGGGGTTTTTGCAGCGTTGAGTAAAACAAACACATTTTTATACAAAAGTTGTTTAAATGTGTAACAGTTCTAGGGCTTCAGAGGAGCACCTCTGTGTTAAAGTGAGTTTTGGGTCTGTGTATAGTGATTTGGCAACTTAGATTTTTGTAGTCTGTGTAGGAGCTGCCCGTGCTATCAGGTCCATTGAAAGGGCGGGTGGGCTGTGGAGGGTGATCTTCCGATAGCGCTTCTCTGAACGCTTGCTGTAGGATTAATCAGTCAGGATTCCACAGGAAAGTACCGTTTTGCAGATGGGCGTCAAGTAACTTTATCTTAGCCTGGGGAAGAAATTGTTTCGGAGCTGACTGAATCTGGAACTGATACTTATGTCAAGCTTAGTAATTCAAATATTGTGGAAAACCGATTGAACACAGTAAATACCATACCATAGGTATGAAACTATTCAGGTTAGGTTCAAATTATGTTCCTATTCCAAGTTCATCTGGTTACTTTTTCATTTTAGAAGTACTAAGATGTGTACCAAGTGCTCTAAAATTTAGTGTATGGGGGAGAGGGGGTGTCTTAATTAAAAGCACTATTGTAAGATTTCTGCTTCTCGGAATTTATCTGAGGACTGGAGGATGACGTCATGCAGTCACGTACAATGCAGATAGTTAGGGCTGTGGGGACACAGATCTTTTTCACTAAGGTAGGAAGCAATGACAGCAATGGTCTAAGTTTGGCTGACTGCAAGCTCTGCAGTTGGCTCTTCCGTTTATGCTTTTCCTGAACTCTGTCCATTGATAAACCCCTGGATTAAGTGCGAGTAAGGCATCATAGAATCGTTTAGGTTGGAAAAGACCTTTAAGATCATAGAGTCCAACTGTAAATTTGGCTGAGAGATGGCAGTTTTCCTTGGTGTTTACTTAGGTCTTAAAGTATAAGTGCTGTCAGAGCTTCGCTGACAAAACATCTGTATAAACTAAGTAGCAACATGGCTGTAACTTCTTGACAGTAAAGATAAAAGGACTTGCCTTGTTGCTGCGCAAGTCTGTGGCAAGAATCCAGATTAGAGCCTGGATTTCCTGTCTCAATCACCCACTCTAAACAAACCTAGTCTCATTTTCAGGGTTATAAGCAAAACCTCCTAGTTTATTCATTTATTCATTAAGATCTCGCTCTGTCTTCTGCAATTTATTTACAAGGCAGATCCTTTTTTATTGCATCTTCATGAAAAAAATGCACTAACCACGCTAAAGTCAGGCATGTCAGTCTAGATTGGTTCAGCACTAAGCAAAGACTGGATATCAAGTCTTTTATCAATTTCAAAGAATTCTTCCTGTAAGTGATAGCGAAAGCATACACAAGGAAGATCAGAAGAAAGAGCAAGCAGATCTGCCAATGCTACTTAAAAAGTTATCTCCAAGTTGGTGTTTGTTTTTCCTTTAAGGCAAAACCTCACTGTCTTGTGTAGCTAACCTTACGTGCAGGGTCACATTTGACACAGTTAGTACATAATGAAATAGGTGTAGGTTTTTTTGGTGTTTTGCTCCACGACGCTTTGTGCCCCAGGCAAAATGCTGTGGTACTTCTGCACTCACCTCTTTTGTCTTAGAACCTTGGGGCTTTCCAGACATGAGGAATATTTTTATCTCGCTTTGCAAGCAGCAGAAGCTGTGGCATAGGAATTGCGGCCCAGCCAGGACTGTAAAGGGAACTGAGTGGCATATGCAGGAGGCTGGGAGTTGGGGATTCCTTCCTGTGAAAGGTGTTGCCTTCCATGAGCTGTAATCACCCAAATGACTTGCAGTTGGTCACTCTGTTGATTGTAATAGGGAAAGTTCCTCATCTTCCCTTTGTTAAACCTCTTTTTTCCTATTACTCTGCTTTTTTTCCCCACAATATAAAACTGTTGATATAAAATCTACACAGCATTGACTTTGTATTTGCAGATTTTAGTACTAAGATGTATACAGAAATATCTCTGAACTCTAGCTAAAGCTTTGATATTTTGGTGGTTTGGATTTTTACTCTTGACCTAGGCTAATTGTGCTATACAACTCATCTACAGAAGAATTCAGGTGAAATTGTAATACCTGTAGATGTCTGAGGTGGCAAAGAGGACAGGAGCTGGCAGGACTGTGGAGGTGATTCAGCTGACAGCTGGAGTACTCATTAACTCAGTCTGTTTTAGGTGGTCATGAGATGGTCTGATAATTGAACTTTTCCTGCCGCAGTGGATTCCACAGCAAGGTGCTGCAGTGTGGGGAAAGCTCTTTGCTCTTAATTCAGAACTCACCAGCCTCCATGAAGGTCCTAGCGACTCAAGCAGAAGAGTCTATTTCTGATGAAATTCTATTGAATCCTTCGCTGCTGGTAAAAATAGGGAAATTTTTGGTTGCTTGGAAGAAGACCTTGATGTTGTGTATGCATCTAGATGAGGTGCTGTAGACCCCAACCCAGACATCCTGTTGGTGGTAGCTGACTGAACATTTGTCATAACTGTTTCACAACATGCTGGCCCTTTGCCAAGTCTTATTTAGAGGTTGAATTTGTTTAATAATTAATTTCAGTGATAATTGAGAATTCTTTGTCCCCTCATCATGAGGGCAATTCAGCATGATGTTACTGGAGAAGGACTACAGTGAAAACAAGTTGAAATGAGAGTCTCAACTAAAGGAGAACGAGAAGAGGCAACCTGAACAACTTTCCAGTCTTGATTTCTAACTGTCTTTTTCTCCTGAAAAATGCTGATGGTTTCTTTCAGTGAGGTTGGAATCCCAGATACTGAATTACTTGAATTAAGGCCTTTGTTCCCTAGTAGTGAACGCGTCCTTATGCACTCTGCTGCCAGTTAAACTTCCCGTGTGTCTATATTGCAAACTTGTTTTTTCATTTGTAGCTTTATCAGTCCTGCTGTGTGCAAGAAAATGTATGTGGTGCTGTATTATAAAAAAAACAAAAAACAAACAAAAAAACCCCCTGCAAAACCCAAACACACACAAAAACACCCCACCTTAAAGCCCAAGGCAGTGTTAAGATAGGGGTTTCAAGTGGGCTAATAAACATGTTTTCTTTTCTGGGTCCTTAAAGAATCTTGTCTTCAAGTGTGTTCTGCCTCTAATGATCATCTTTGCATACTACTCAAAAGCTAGACCCTTTGAAAGACAAATTTTTAAGTTGTAAGAACTTCAGACATGCGGGCTCATGGTGACGTTAAAGCGGACATAGGCTGAATAAGAATCACCTAAGGATAGTTTGCACAGAATGAGGAGTCTGCAAGTCCCTGCAAGTGTGCAGACACTCCCAAACTGAACCTATCAACACACTCAATGGAAGGAAAAGACTTGTCATAGCTGAGCTCTTTTCCAGTAAGAAAAGTTACCAAAGTCTTAAACCACAGACATAGAAAGTATTTCCCATGCTAATGGAAAGAGAGGTTTTCCAGCTGCATTTTCCTTTCCTGGTAAAGTTGCTGTTTTGTATGCCAAAGCAGCCTGATTTTTCACAGTGATTATCTTACAGTGCAGTTCTATTAAAATAAAACTTTGGAATTTCCTTCAGTTTGGTGCCCAGCAAATAAGAAACTTGTTGGAAGGTGGGGGGGGGGTGTGTGTGCATGGAGGGGAGTGTGTGGTTGGAGCTTCTTGCCAAACTTGCCTTTTTTTACCCTACATTAGCCTCAATCCTAATTTCCAGCTGGCTCTGTGATATAACTCTTTCTAGGGAGGGAACAAAGACCTATCACCTTCTAGTATTTTATAGGTTAACTTTCAGCTGTGAAAACATCCTATCTTGATGAAGTCAAATTAAACTCTGCACTTCATGAGCATTTATCAAAGCTGCTGAAATTTCTTTTCACAATTTCTTTTACTGAGCATTAGATTTTGGGGAGTTGGTCTCAACAAATGAGTATCAAATCTGATTGAGCCAGCCAGAGCATCTGTGTGGTGGTGCTACAGAACACCCTGTCCAGCACTGCAGCCTGGCAGGTAGTGATTATCCTGGACATCTGAGAATATTTATCTCTAGCACTCACCTGCTTAAGCTTCAGCCTTATCAGAGGGGCATCATTAGGGAATGATTTGGTACCAAATGCAAGAGCTATCCAAAGCAAAACAAGTCACTTCAGATACTTTAGAAATCTTTTATTACAATAGTATTTATTCTTCTTTCTGTTGCTGAAAATCAATGCAAATTTTTGATGACTCACTCCTTTCATCCTTTTTCTGATTTTAAATCTTCATAAAATGACCTTGAACATTAGCATCAAGAGAAATTGTATGAAGTGCAAAAATCTATACTGAACTTTTGTATTTGCAGGGGCAAATGCTTAAAAACCTGATCTTTGTAGTTCTCTGACTTTTCAACAAAGATACCTAGTCAAAGGGCATCTACTGACCTCTTCAAGAAGGTGTTTTCCAGGTGACAGAGGGTCAGGTATTCTGTGATCAAACTTTATATTGGTTAAATAAGATGTCACCTGCTAGACTTGTTTATTCCAGTAAAGCCGATTTGCTAGTGACACCTGTGCATCTTAAAGGATTATACGCAACAATCTTTGTTTGTCCAGGCAGCTGATAGGTGGGTTTTGTCTCTAACAGGTCTTTAGAGACCAGAGGAAGACAGCAGTCGGTAGGAGGATTTCTGAAAACAGCCTCTCTTCGGAGGACTTTGATGTTGGCCAAGGAGAGAAGAGCCATAGTACATCAGGTCAGTAAACCTCATGGTTTGTTTTTTGGTTTTTTAATTTATAAAGTGAAACTGCTTTATACAATACAATGGAAACAACTTTTGCCTTTCAGAAATGGAAGGAAGTGCAGCCATCTTCCATCTGTGAAGTCCACACAAGTGTCACGTTTAATGAATTCAGTCTTGCTGTGCATTTTAAACCATTATACCCTTAAGCACAGGAAACCAAGGCACAGGAGATAACTAGAAAGCTAAGGAATGGAACCCGTTTTTACCCTTGTGTCTTAATCCTAGGACAATCCTAGAACTACTTTTAACAGGCAAACTAATTTAGAAAGCAGTGAACAGATAAATGAGACAATATGCCTTCTTCATTCTTGCTTTAATTCTCATCCCTCCTACCTTGCCCAGACACAGGAAACTCCAGCTAGCCTTACGACTTGAGCAAAATGATGTCCTTTTCCTAAGTTTGGAGGCTCTTTTCTAACAAAGCATTTACAATCTTTTGTGTTTTCAGCCTATGGCTAATGTTATATCTCACTATTCAGTGATGCACGTTGTGTCCTTATTTGAGGAATACTGGAGAGAATGACAAGAACTGCTGACATTTGTTGCTTGGTCCCAAGAGGGACCTTAATGATTCGTACAACTTTTTAGTCATTCAAGGCCACTAGCTAGTGAAAGGTCATTTTTTTAATCATTCTTTATTGAACAATTAAGCTATTACTGAAGACCTGACCATTATACAAGGAAGTTAGATAGCAGAGCAATCACAGGAGCTGGCTTTTTAAACCTATTTGACTAACATCTGACAGCAAAAATAAAAGATGGATGAAAAGTAATGGGGCATAGTTCTGAAAGTTGGGAGAGCTGCACCTATGCAAAGACTTTCTTTCCTCTTGAGACAAAAACGGGTGCTTCAAATGCTCCTGCAAGACTAAACTGAATGATTTCATAACATGTTTGTTCTCAAGATCCTAATCTGTAACATGTCGTGATAAATTATTTTCGAGAAGGTGGAAGTGGCAGGTGAGACTTCCTTTCTTGATTCCCATGTTTTCCCTAAAAGACTGACAACTATTCCACTACAGGAATGATGTATATTCCCATTTAGCCACCTTAGCAGCTGCTTTCATTTGACAATAACAGCAAAACAATCCTCGGTGTTAAAACAGTTTGCGCTCATTACTTCGGAGACCACTGGCTGGACGCTACTTCTCTGAATCTAGCTGGACTATCTACGAGACTTGGAGCATAAACCTTTGACTGAAGCATTTCTGTGCTTTTCAGATCTGGATTTTCTGTGGTCTTGGGAGTGATGAAGGGATGGGATTTGTAAGTCTTTCTATGGACAGGTCTACTGGCATTCCTGAAAGTTACCCTTTATTCGTGTAATTCTTTTTCTAGGGCATCTGGTAGATACTAGTCCAGCGCTCAGCCCAGACAAGGCAGAGACCAAGAAAAGCCTGGACATGTCTCACATAACAGAAACTTCAATAAAGGATAGGCTGGCGAAGTATCAGGCAGCTGTGTCCAAGCAGGGCAGTTCCACAGGCCTAATTACTATGGTAAGTCTGCTCTTTGGCTTGTGTAGAAGTGAATTTTTGTCTCAACCTGAGAATGGAAAGAAGATCTTATTGAAACCAGATTTTCTGAAGATAATGCCATCTTTTTTTGAAAATAACTTCATGCCCATAGGAGTAATTTCTGATGAAGAGTTGCCTCTACGTACTGCAGAAACACATAATATTTGCATCTTCCTGGAATAATCTTGGAAGTTTTCCAGGAAACTAATTGCTGGTGCTCTGACTGAGGCCCTTCTGAAACATAGCCGGCATTCTTTTTCTTTCTGCATGTCTGTAGCTCTCTGCATGTTTGCTTGTTTTGTTTGGGTTTTTTAAAAGAAAACAAACTTAATTCTGTATTGAGCATTAGCTATAAGCTAGGGGAAACTGAGGCGCAGTAAGATGGAGCGACTTTCATTGTCATACGGTGCATAGACCGTGGATCTCTTGGCCTGCAGCTTTGGGATCTCCAGTCGGTTTTCCTCCCTTTTGCTTTCCACCTCCCTTCAAGTCTTCTCGTTATCTGAATCCAATTAGACTCTTGCAGTGAATGAACTTGTGCCAATTTTGCAGATATTTGATCAGGAACTGAGCAATTAATGAATCATGGTAAAGTATTGCAGCTAAAGAGATTGCAAGAATCTAAGCTTTTGTTAAAAAGTGCTTAAGTACATTTGCTGGAACTGTCTGATACTTGTGCTTAATGATGGGAACTTTTATTGCTCAAGTATGCCTTTTGTTAACCAGTGATACATTTTAAGAGGCTAGGCCTTTTTAAGTTAGGAAACTTGCACTGGAAATAAAAGCCAAAAATGATGGTTCTAAGCTTTGGAAGAGTGCATGCTTCCTGGGTATCTTGATAGAGAGGCAAAAGTGTCTACCCAGCTGAACTGATTTCTGAATTTCCTGTGCTGCGTGGGTCCAATTCTCCAGCCCTTGGGAGGAAAGTCAAGTAAACTTCACCGCATGAATGGAAAGTAATTGTAGCCAGTGCAACAAATCTGATTAACTGCTAATTGCTGATTTCTGCATCCTGTTTCTTGCCTGGATTCAGTTTGCTAGATTGTCTTTTCCAGTTTGTGCTCAGAGGGGTAGCTGATCCAGTAAATTATGTCCTAATGGCAAGAGATTTACCGTAGATGTCTCGTGAGACCCTTGTTTGCAAATCCTCAACGCTGTCAGTTTGAGTGTAAGTCCAGCCTGATGCTCTTAGGATGTCCCATTTTGGCAGAATCTCTTTCAATTTTGGCCTGGCACAGACAAGGGCAGCATGTAAGCTGGAGTAAACAATGGTTTCTGAGGCCAACGTTTGCAGTACTTCTGTGTTCCAACAGCAGCCATAACTCTTGGATATTCTCATTTGCTGCTGACAAAGCAGCTAGGGCTCTTTTGATATGGTAGTGTGGTATTTGTACTTCCCTTCTCTTCAAATGTGTCACATCTGTGCTACAAAGCAAAGCCATAATCTCTCTTGGGAACAACTCTCTTGTGAGGATGTTGTGGTGTAATTAGGACTGGATTAAAACTGATAGACATTTTTACAGTTGGTTAGAGTAAGGGTAGGAATCAGTCATTTCTGTAGCATTACAAGTGATACAGGAAGAGGAGGGAGAGATGATGGACAGCATACTTAGGAATCTATACATTAAAATTCTGACATTCAACACGTACCTATTAGATGTGGTTGGTTTTGTGCAGACTTGTTTACAGAATCCGGTAAGATGCTGGTGCTGGCGTTTGGCTGTTTCTCTTTCACGTTACAGAGAAGATGCCTTGTGAAAGGCACGAGTCTTTCTCCAATTATCTTGTATCCTGGGGCAATGAAAGAAACACGAGGTTTCACTGCATTTTATTTTTTTTTTTAAGTCTGAAAGATTCTTTTGTGAAAATCTTAAGTCAGTTTGTCAAGAACAAAAATCTCAGCAAATAACAGAATTAGGTTTTTGACTAGTATTGAGGCAAGGGTAGGATTTGCTTTTATGTCAAATTGTATTTTTCAAATACACAGTGCTTTAGATAGTGCTTGCCTTGAAATACTACTAATTTCAAATGAAAAGTTTATATTTCTGGAAAAGGAAGATATGGATTGAGCAGGTGAAATGAGAGCTGATTTTAAACAGGAATCTGGAAGTAGAGAAAAAGGGGTTGCATTTGGAAAAATGCTGGCATTACCTCCATAGAGTATAGTAAAATTCTACAACCCCATCTTTTTTCTTCATTAGAATATATCGCTTACCAAGATTGTATACATTTTTATGCCCCTTCCTTTAATTATCACTGTATATACTAGGAAAGCAGTTTAAAACAGATTCTAAGAAAAATAGAAAGCAAGTACTTTCCTAGGCAAAAAGAACCTGTCAACTTTCAAGTGCTTTATTCTATAGAATGAGATTCAAGCCAGTGAAAGTGAACTCGAGAATTACAAATCTGAGCAGAAGGAGAATATGCCACCAAGTCTTGAGGACTCCATTTCCTATCAGGATGAGGAGAAGGTAAGACGCTCATGCTGGTGAAGATCCAGGACTTCACGTTGAGTGGAGCTAGTTGTAGAAGCACAGCTGATATACTTGTTCCACATGCTGTCTGGAAATTGAATAAGAGCAGCTGATGCAGTCCAAAAAAATTATTAAAAAAAAGAATCAGGAATTCTGCAGCATGTAAATAATCTGTATCTGAATTCTAAGCTAGCAAGTCTCTGTGGAAGACTTTTAAGCAGTTGTAGAGAATATAGAGACAAATTTAAAGTTTTCTTGGAGACTTCCCCTGTCTTCTCAGTAATGACATGCCTGTAGTGTGGCAGAATCCTTCAATATCATACTTAGCATTTTTTCTGATGGCTTCAGTAGCTGACTGGGGCTGAAACCTCTGATGGTTTTGTGGGGGCTTTTTGTTCTGGTTTTGTTTTGTTTTTTAACTCTGCCATGAATTTTTGATGACTATGACAAAGCCACGTAAACTTTTTTGTGTCGTGTTCCCTAACTGTAAAAAGATGATTCACAGCTAAGTATTTATTTTGTTTGTGGGTAGGTTTTTTTGATTTTTTTAATAAACAATAAAGAAACCCACTCCAGAAAAAAACCCTATTGTGTGATTCAAGTAAAAGGAGTTTACCACTGTTTCTTCTGCATTTAGTGGCTAAATTTTGATTGAAGTAACTGAGAGTGACAGTTTGGGTTCGTTCCTGGTTTTGACCTTCAGCTGTACATTGAGACTAAATTACTCTGTGAATTAGAGATATTAAAGCACACTCAAGCATTTGTATACTAAACTGGGGACAGCAGACGGGATAAAAGTAGCTGAATAATAATTGGGGTACTGTGTATTCCAGCCATTCTGAACACGTGGCAGCCTAATGCCAGGAGGGCTTTTAGAGCTTTCCAGCCTTCCTTGGGCAAGGGCCAAAGTGTTGCTTTCAGCTGTTGCTCACTGACAGCTGAGCAGCTTCGTGTTCAACTGGTTGAGGCTGCTTTTTGCTAAAAGGTGAGTTAATTAAAAGAACACCTGTTAAATCAGAATACATCCATGTTGTTGAATGGAAGATTTGAATAAAATTTCTTGTATTCAGCTGTAAGTTTGAATTTGCTTGTTGAGGTGTCCAGGTGCAGTAAAGAACCTGAATAGAACATTGTTTGAGAGCCAGGATTGTCCTTTGAAATGGACATGATAAACTTTGGAAATAAGCCTAATTAAATCTGCTAGTAGTAAATATCAGAAGAAGGAATCCTCCGACAAAAAGGAAGCAGAAGAAACTTGCTAACCTCTGTCATTTTTCACACTGAATCTGTGAAAGATTTAGTAGCCAGACATGTGTGACTCTCTAACAGCCACAGAACATGCTGATGCACTTCCCAGTATACTTGTGTCACAGTTATTTCTTCAGTAGACCGGAGTATGTTAATATATGTAACTTGCTTCCTCATTAATTTGCAAACTTCTGTTGCTTGCAATGGAGCCTTCAATCATTAAAGTGAATTAGTGATGATTTGCAGTTAATCTTGGTACAGTACTTTAGTTTCTCAGTGTAGCTACTTATAACTGTTTGATTTAATAGCAATAGCGCCAAGTTTAATAAAGAAATACATCAAGAACCTTATCTGTAACATTTTTAGTATCTGAAACTAGTTTATATCGAACTCATCTAAAAGTTTTCGGGGGGTTTTTTGTTTTTCTAAAATATAAATCTGTTTCTGAAGGAGGATGAACAGGATAGGTCCAGGCATGTTTGTCCCAACTTGGGAACAGCAACCTGCTAGTTCTATAAAAGCTTTTTTAAAATTTAGCTGTTCTTTATTTATCTTTTTTTTCTTTTTCTTTTTTTCAAAAGCACTGTCTTTGCTGAATGGTTAAATGTCATAGATTTGTCAAATGTTGGAGGGAGCTAGGAGATTTCCAGCAAATGTGTACTGCTTGGTGTCAAGGGATTTCTAAGTAAGAAAATTCGGGAGATGTATCAACGAAATCCACAAGGATTTCTGAAGATCAATAGATAAAGGTGTACAAGCTGCAGATGTTTGGGAAAACAAAAATAGGATGTTTGTCTGTGTGAACACTATGGAAGATGATCTGAATATTGCAAAAGCTGTAAAATTATGAGGATGTCTACCTTGTAGCAAGGACTAACATTCTTGGCAGTCAGCTGGACTCTGTCTTGTGCCTTACAAAACAAAAAGTAGCTTCATGTGCACCTCTGTATGTCCAGTCTCTTCCTGTTTAAGTGCTTACAGTGTCAAACTGCCTGTTGTGTTACTCAGGCCATGATCGTTCAGACTTCAGAAGGTCAAAGGTGCTCATTGTCTAATATTGTCTTGCAGGTTTCTGTAGGTGAGAACAGCTTGTCCTTCCACGCTGGTCTTCTAGAGGATGGCAATGGTAAGCATGCATTCTCCTGCCTCAGCAAGAGTAGCGTGCATGACTGAGGCAGAGCTCGACTGCCCAGTTGTGTGTAGGATGCTCGAGATCAGTCCTGTTGAACAATGAATTTGACCCAATGAAAACTTGTCATGTACTAAAAATCTGTCTTGTGCATAACTCAAACTTTATAAGAAGATCTTTTGAGTTTAAAAGTTCATTTGCAATTGTAATTCTAAGACATCTGTAACTCTTGTTTGCTCTGATTGAACACATTTAAGTGTAGCTTCCTCACCATTTGGACTTAAACTAACTCTGGCAACTACTGCTTCAGTCAGTATGGGCTGAAGTACTTATTAATGCAGGACAATTACCAGTCATCTTTGGTGTTGTCCAGAGGTAGACAAGTTCCTGTTCAGTAAAGTGCGTAAACACTCTCGTGTTGCCTTAGCTTTACACCTAAATTCAAGTCCACACGAGCACTTTGCAGAAGTGAAGAACAGTTCCTGGAAGTTAGGTGTTGGATCCCTGTATGTTACTTTCCTTTACACATCAACTTAACTTTCTGGTAAATCAGAAAATGTTTAAATATCTGGATCTAAAGGTTTAATAGCAGATGTTCAAGAAAAAACTGTGTTAGCACTTTACTGGTAGGATTGCTGTTCAGTCTTACGAGCATAAGCTTTCCATGGTTTTTAAGTCATTGTAATTGCCTTTTCTTCCTCCTGTGCTCCCTTAGTTGGACAAAACTTGGAGAATGAGACTGAAGTTCAGAAACCTGTCAGCACAAAGCAGCAAAACTTTAGTTCTAAAACAGCTGGCCAGACAGATGCATCTCTGCCAAAAACAGTGAAGGTAAAGCAGCTACTTATTCTCAAACATTGGTGACAGTTAAACCCAAATAACTTCTCTGTTTGATACTGAAAAGCCTTAATGCCAGAACCAAAGGATCTGGCAGTAATTATCAATATCTGATCTGTCTTTATCAGACTGTGCTCATGACGGAACTTCAATTCAGAATAGCAAAGCATCTCAAAACTGTCAGTTTTTCTTCAAAGACCAAGTTTGAGTTACTTGCTGGGAGCTGCCCTGCTGCTGTTGCAACAGCGTGCCCCTGCGACAGAGGCAGTGTGTTTCTCTTCAGTGTGGGAAAAGGGGTTTGAACAGGGGATAGTATCAGGGCTGGTCTATGCCTCTTGTGAAGTCGGTGCTCCTAGAGACTGGTGCTGAGGTCCTGATGCTGATCCTCAGAGCCTTTAGCAGGCTGGCACTTGGCTTTCCACCCTCCTCCAGCTGTTCCCAAGGTAACTGCAATTGGTAGCAACTCTATAGTAAAGGCACTCCACAAAGACCGAGTTTGGCGTTCTGAGTAACAAGTCTTTAATATTGCATTTTCTTTAGTGGAAGCTATAAAGCAGATGGAGAACTTCTTGGATAGGAAGGTATTTGCTAATCTTATTAGACACACAAATGGCAGTGCTGAATGTTCTGATCACACTGTATTTTCTTATCACGTGTGCTGTCTGGAGTTAGGATGCCTGTTCCCTGGGCTGCCACAGACTTCCTGGCTCACTTCTGAGGAAACAACTGTGCTTTTGTTGTTTTCCCCATCTTTGAGAGGAACAGCACTGACCTCACAAAGACCAGCGAGATGTGGCTTCCTAGTGTTCTGGAGTATAAATGCCAGTATGCGAAACTAGAGCTGCCTGTAACGTTTTTGTAATCTCAGTCTGTTACAGTATGCAAGATACACGCAAGCTGTGTGTCTTGGTCCTCTGTACTATCTCTTTATATTAATAGAACCATTTTAGTCCTCTGCCTTGTTACTGCTTTAGATGCTGCACTGCTGAGATAGAAACCCAGATGCTGTTTATTCATGTAAGGTTCCTGTTTGTCTCTTCCAGCTTCTGTGTCCTGTTCTTGGTTCCTAACCTCTACTCCTGCCTTCTGCTTCCCTCCTAATGTGAGCTCAACTCTCAGCTTTCTCTCAAGTTCTTTTTATATTGGTTGGGCCTCACCTTCCTCCTGTAGCTCCTGTTTGTAGTATGCCTGCAAAGGAATTTCTTTCTCTTCACACCCCAAAACGCCTCTCCATCAGACATAGGGCTCATTGTTATACAAGTAAGTTCCTCTTCTTAGACAGGGATGTGCATTGCAGAAGCACATGCCAGCACCGTAATGTCATCTTGGGAACTAAGCTTTCGGGGAGAGTTACTTTTTGATGGGCAAGCAAATTGTTGCTGCATTGCTCCCAGTGGCAAGCAAGCATGATTAGATTTTTGTTTCCATTGGTAAACTCTCATTTTCTGATATTTCATTTAGTGACTCCAAATTCAGAATTCGCTTGCAGTTTTGGCACCACCTAGAAATTGTGGATTTTTTTTCAAAAGGAACTCTGAACTTTTGTTGGTCAAGCTGTCATCAAAATTAGAACTTTAATCTACTATAGCTTCAAGCAATGCCTTAAAAAATCAAAATACCTATTAAACCGGAATTAAATTGGCAGCAAACTTTATGGTTGTGACAAACTGACTTCAGCTGGCTCTGCCTTCAGCAATCTGTCCCTCACGTATTGTAACTTTCATTGCCTAACCATTGTTTCTAGTCTGTTATAAATAAATTGCTGTAATTATGTCTTCCTGTGACCTTCCTGTTTTTTCTTTAGCCATCCTATTTTTCCTTAAAGCTTTTTAGTAAGTTTGTTTTTAGCAGGTAATTTTTTGTCAAAGAAAAGCTACCATACCAATGTGTCTATGGAGACCCATGGTATGGAGCCTAGGCACTACTGCTAAAGTAGTTGTAATCAACATGCAGCCTGAGACTGCCAATTTTTCAACTGTAAGTTATTTAATTTTTCCTTTAAAGTGTTTTCCCTATTGGCCAACCTTCGTAGATTCCAAGAAGTGAATGGCATCAAGTGACCTTTTTTCGTAGACAAAGTACTTGCTTCCTTGATGCTGTCAGAAAACAAAATCTGAAATCGTTGCTATAGAGCACAGCAGTGACACTTCACTTCTTAGGGTTTAAGTTTATCCTTGCACTGAACTCTCAGGAAATTCTCTTAGTGAGCACATAAACAATTTTAGCTGTTTAACCTCAAAGCTTTGCTTACTTTAAGTCTTGAGCAAGTTTGAGAGCTGTGTGTCCCGAAACCTGAGTATAGCTTCTTTGCGATAGAACTGGAATTGCTTCCAAATGAAGTCAGAAGTGTTTCCTGCTGCCTGCATCTGTGCTGAGACTATTTCCTCCCCTTTAGGAGAGGAGAGCACTTAGCAGAAGCAGATTGTTTCAAACCCTTGAGCAGCCTGTTCCACTCCTTTCCCCTCCTGCCCTCTACCTTTTATTTTGAGGTTATTTCAGCTCTTTTTCTACTCTATTATTTTTATTTTGGTAACTCCCACACTGACTGTAATCTACATGAATTGTTTTTTTGTCATTTTCCTGTCAAGAAAAATGGAGGTTGCAGAAATAGTTCAGACAGCGTTTTGGGAAGTGGCTCAAAGTTATAACCGAGTTCTAGTATTTTCATTGTTCTTTCTCAACCGTGGCTCAACTTGTGATGCTTCAGCTGTGGAATTTGCTGGGGCAAAATCTTGGCTCCCTGTCAAGCCACAGCAATCCTGTGGGCCTCCCATAGCCTCTTCCTCACTCCTTGCCCACCAGAACCCACTCTACCATAATTAGCATTGAGCTGCAGAAAGTGAATTGCTGCAATTTTTCTGAGAACTCTGGAAGCTGTGCATGAACCCAAGCCAAGTCCCCTAGCAGTCGATTCATTTTTCCAGTTAACGAGCTTTCTCTTCTTCCCATAGAAATTTCAGTTGCCAATGAAGGAAACCTGTGTTGGGTGTCAGAAGACCGTGTACCCGATGGAAAGGCTCTTTGCCAACCAGCAGGTGTTTCACATCAGCTGCTTCCGCTGTTCCTATTGCAACAGCAAACTCAGGTAAACACACTGCTCCCTTTGGTTGCTGTCTAGGAAGCACAGCCTTCCTCTTCAGCAGCTGAGTATGATGCTGCTCAGGCTTAGCTGAGCTGAAGGCAACCGTAATCCAGTGAACTGGAGAGAAGTGTAGGAGTGGTAATACAGTCCTAGTTCTGCCAGTGGCTTTTGTGCTATTTTAAAACTCTTAATGTGATTTTATGTGGGGAAAAATATAATATTCAACTTTGTAAGCAACTCCTGACACTTGAAAAGAGGGCCATACAAACTCATGAAAGCTGTAAGCTTGTCTTTTCTAAACATGTTGGGAGACTGAAATTGGACCTCTTCTGTAACATAACTAAAATATACATCGGGCTCGGTGGCTGAGGTACAGAATGCTAACATTTGACTTCGTATTCTCCTGAACAGCCTTGGGACATATGCATCTCTGCGTGGGAATATTTACTGCAAGCCTCACTTCAATCAGCTCTTCAAATCTAAAGGCAATTATGATGAGGGCTTTGGACACAAACAGCACAAGGAACTGTGGGCAGGCAAAACTGAATGCGAAGAATCCCCAGAGAAAAATTCCCATGGTGTAAATGCAACAGAAAGTCCGCAAAAGCCAGGAGTAGAGGATGCCCCAATTGCAAAAGTAGGAGATCTGACAGCTAGTATGGAAGCAAAAGCTTCAGGTTTGCCTGAAAGAGAAGAGAGACCAGCAGAAACAAAAAAGCTCAGGATTGCCTGGCCGCCTCCATCTGACCAAAGTATTCAAGGAAGTGCCTTAGATGAGGGCATCAAAGTATTCAAACCCAAATGGCCCCCGGAAGAAGAGATTTCTAAGCCAGATATGCTGGAGGATGTGGATCTGGATCTCAAAAAGTTAAGAAGGTCTTCCTCGCTGAAAGAAAGAAGTCGTCCCTTTACAGTCGCAGCCTCGTTTAGAACAGTATCTGTTAAAGGCCATAAAACGGAGAATTCATCTTCTCCTTCTAAGGCAGAGAGGGACATGTTGAAGAGAAGTGAGGAACTGGAGAGAGAGGTCGTGATAGACAAAAAGCAAAAGGAAAAGAAGGCTGAGAATAAGAACATCCAGAGTGCTGAAGAGAAAAATGTAGAGGAAGAACAGGAATTGTCTGGTATCAAAACACTAGAGCATAACTTTGTAGAAAATGGCCAGGTGAATGCAGAGACAGATGAGGAAGAACACACTATGGAAGAGCAGGAAATTCCAAATGAAGAATTCCTTGAACGAAATTCTCCTAAACATTCCAGCTTAGCCAATGTCATGACTGCTAAGGAATCATCTCCTAACCAGAACTGCAAATCTCAAGATGCTGGTTTCTGGGAGGGTGAAGATATGGAAGATCTATCTGTGGAAGAGCAGATCAAAAGGAATCGTTACTATGAAGAAGATGATGAAGAATAAATTCGCTGCAAGGTGCTGGGCCTTTTTAAATCGGTGTTTTTAGCTTTAATAAACAGCTGTCCTCCATGAAAGCGATGCTATACTGCACACTGACATTAAGGGAATCCTGTGTACAAATTATCTCAACTAGAAAAATACTCCGGAAGCCTGCAAAGTGTATTTAAGAGCATGGAAACAAGTATCTGGCTGTGAGATAGCTTCAACAGGTAATCTCTGTCCACAGCACAAGAACAGAGCTGTTCTGTACTCCTACTGTCGTACCCTTTCTGAGCTTCAGTACGTATTTCAGTAACAATTTACAGAATTTCACTGTACTCACAATGGTGGTGTGAAACAGGCTTTCTGTGACACTACTTCTACCACTACAAATGCTACTGCAGTGCTTAGGGACCAATTTCAAAGGGACTTTCTGGCCTGCTTTAGAGATGGTAACTTACTGCACTTTAATACATATGAAGGGCACAACTGCGACTTTTAGTAATAAAAACATTTATGTGCTTAGTATCCAACAACTAGAGCATCTTAAACTGAGTGCAATGTGATTTTCTTTCTCAAAACTGCCTATGATCAATTGGATGCTCCCTACTCTCTTTACTTTTCTCTGTGCAACTGGAATGGTGTGCCCATTGCTGGAACATATGTATTTTAGTGCTTATCCAGAAGCTGTGCTGACTGACAGATCTCTTTGAGGACAAGTCAACACTTCTGCAGTAGCCTGTAGGGCATTACTTTTGCATTTCATATGCATTTGAAGAGTGGTGGGTTGGGTGTTTTGTTTTTTTTTACTTGGAGTTCATCATCATTCATTTTAAACTGCAGATAATATTTTTAAGGCCTTTTGACAACTTTGAAATCCTACTTGTATCAGTCTGCCATAAATCTTTTCATTACGGCTGTGAAATTATGCTGCACTGCAAAAATCTCTGGAATAAGACCATCTGAACAGTGAAACTTTCTGCTCGCATTGAAGCTTAGTACATTTTTAAACTTGACTTCATTTATTTTACAAATAATGAAATATTGAACGGTGGAAGGAGGATGCCCTTTTATATTAGCTTTTATTTGTACTGTACTCTCATGAGAATTAGCTCTTAACTATACTTGAGGTGTAAAATATTCTGCTTTCTTAACAGGCCTGCTAAACTACGAAACCTTCAATAAAGTTCGGTCATTTACATTAAAATTTAAGTCTGAGACTGGATTCATACTCGTGTCACAAAGAGGCAACATTTTAAAAAGACCATGGGAAAAGACGGGTGAAGTACCGGTGGTGTTGCTGGAAGCTGGAGACCAGACAGTGATTTTTGTGGTGCCACTAGGTGACACTGTGTGCCCGCGTTTTTTCTGGTTGACTCTCAAATGGGCAGACTGCTCCCACGTGCAAGAGCGCGTGGAACAGCGGTTAGAACAGGACGGGCAAAAGAAAGAAGGACGTGCAGGTAACGCACGCTTCCATTTCTGGCTTCAGGTGGTCCTCGGGCATGGTAGCTGAGGACAACTGAGGGGTTGGGGTTTCCCCCCCCCCCTTTCTATAAGCTTCTTTGTGTTGCAGTTACCTTCATTTAAGCCTGAGGTGGGTTTGGTTGGGATAGATAGGGGTTAAGACTTAGAAGAAATGCAGTAAGTGACCTGCAGCAGCATGAGAAAATGCACGTGTACGATTTGTGTATAAGGGAAGGAGGGAGAGAGAAGGTAAAAGCAGCCTGTTATCTAGCTGGAAGGCATTAACAGTTGCACACCATGAGATGTACAACCTACTGCCAATTTTTCTTTTTAAGGGAGAATCAAGATTTGATTTGTACGGGTAGAGGTATTGCAAAACTAAGAAAGCTGATGTGCAAGCACATGCTGCTTTCTGTAACCCTTATCTCTTCCTAACAAAATCCATTTGGTATTAATTTCCTCAAATTGCTAAGAAATTGGAGATCTTTCTGACTTGAAACTGTGCTAAATGTATTTGAAAAGGAAGGGAAGAATATTTGTTGTGGACTTGGATTTATTGAATATGCCTATTACTAGTTTCTTAGCAAATGCAGTTGAATTTTACACTGCATCCCCAGTTACATGGTAGTAAAGCAATACTGTCTGCAGTTACCAGAGACTTTAATATTACGCATTATTAGTTGTAGTTAAATCTGAGCCTTCTGTGATTCTGTGAGGTACAAGGACCCTTACTGCTCACTCAGACTGGCTGAACATCTTCAAGAAGAAATTAGCACAAGTAGCACTTTTAAATAAAGCCGTTGATTAAAAAGAAGTGAACAGATCATGAACTAGCCTGTCCTTGAGTGTATTAGTTATCATAGTATTTGAGTGCTTAATGGGCCGTTTAATCTGCTCTCAACTGGACAGATGCCAGAACAGCTATTATATGAAGGATGGATCATTTGCTACACTGTACAAGGAAGTTGATGCTGACCACCTTTGTGGAGAGTTTGCCAAGCAACTGAAAAGGTTACACAAAGCTTTGTTACTTGGTAACCACCACCCCAAGGCTGTCAAGCCAACATGGATTTTTCCTGAATGTTTTAAAAGCTGTAAGGAATAAACTTTGCCAACCAGAGTACCTCTCGCCCCATTTTGTGCTTAATGTTAAACCTCATCGTTATTAATATTAGTAAAACTAGTCCTCGGTATCTTACCATAAACTCTTCACATGAGAAGTTGCACTGTCCTGCTTGGGGCTCTGGGGCCCTTCAGCAGGGAGTGCAACGGGCTGGAGCCCCTCGGCGGAATCCTGCCCCCCGGGGGTGGGTGGGAGGCGGTTCCGCTACCGGAGTTCAGCACCAGACCCCTCCAGAGGGTCCGGGCTGGGCTCGGCGCCTGGCCCAGCCGGGGCCGTCCTGCGGGAAGACGCCCGACTCCCCTCAGGAGCTCGTGCTTTAGGCCCCCGTTAAAGACTGTCTTGAGGAGTTTTTTCAGTCAGAACAACTCGTCTCTGTTCGTGGAAAAAAATCCCCCCGAGGGCTGGGAAGCGCGTGACCGCCCGCCTTCGCGCCGCGTCCCCTCAGCGAGCGCTGAGGCGGCGGCGGAAGCGCGCGCGCGCGCT